TTTTATTGCAATAAAATAGTTGTATAGAGAAACAGAATACTCTGAAGCCTCGTATACAAGTTGCCGATAGGTACTAATAAAAATATAATAGTAAGTTCGGCGACCACATTCCACTTCTGATTATGAGTGTACGTAAGTGCAGCTACAACGCTTTCACTCTTGCATCTGCCGTTCTATTGTCAGCGCTCGTGTCAGTGGATCCAATCAAAGCTTATCTCCCCAGGGTAGCTCGAGCTCCCGAACACAAGTATTACACGTGTCATGAGTTGCAAGGAGGTTAGGGATGGATGGAAGGGGATACACACAACAGCGCAGCTTTGTTCTGCTCATCTGCGCTCTCTCAAGATGAGGACTACTTTCTCTGCTAAGGCTGATCCTTAGGTTAGCAAACGAAAGATCACTGTCGCAGGCCACGAAAAAGGGTGTTTTCTTCTCTTGTTGGGTTTCCGGAACTGTACTGGCGCAGCGTTCGTTACAAATCGCTGGGAGTCCAGGCAACACGACCAGGGTCAAAGCAAGCATTCTGGTGTCGTCACCCGTAAGGCGGGCGCCAGGCAGCTTTAGGTTAAGCGGGTTTGACATCGATGTCCAGGCGATCAAACTACCCTTCAAGGCAGTCTGCTCAAATCTCTCTCAGAATCCTTTCTAACTCTGTTTTAGAGAGATGCTAGAAGTTTATCTGAGAGGGCACGATTTTGGTGCTGTTTGCGTCACATTTTTGCTATGCTTAACTTTATCTACGGTAATTAACATCAACACTTTAAGATAGGCTCTCAAGGAAGCTTAATATCACACCACTGAGCAGAGGTTTTGTATCGTCTTTCACCCCTTTTTTCATCTCCAAAGTCGATGAATTTCCACTGCTTGTTATTATCCTGATAGAGACGACCGAAAGTTATTGGTACCTGAAAAATCCGAAATTAGTTTCATCAATATAGCAGCCATGCGTAATCATAGCTGGCTATTGAAGCCATTACAGATATCAGATTTCCATCCACAAAATATTGGCTTTTATGAAAATTTTGACAATATATCAAACGCTCACCGTGGAAATATTCAAGAATAATTGTGTGTCTGGCTCTTTGGTTTCATAGTGAGCTTTGGTCTTCTCAAAGTAGTCGACACGAGTTCCATCATTCTGGAATAAACCCAAATTTTCGTCAATTTGTTGGATCTGTTGAATTCATGATATTTGAAAAGGAATGCTATTTGGTTACATGTTTGCAAACAGGGTACAGCATGGGAATGTGCGAAATGGATCTGTAACTGCTATCTCCCCCTCCTAAGAGACTAGTTACGATATCCCTATGGCAGATAGTGACAGTAAAAGGTGAGCGAAAAAAGTTGGGATAGTGTCAGTTGGTGCAGAAGTGTTGCGTAAGTATTAACCCTAGAGGAACCCCATCTTGGCCATCGCCTTCAACCAAATTGATAACTGAGGGGTTCACTGAAGCTGAGAGTGTTAATGTAAGGATCATTAATGAGAAATAAGGTCTCACGATGCAAAGTGAACATCGAAATTCTTCAAAAAAAGCCAGTTCCATACTCCATAGGGACGGTAGCAATTTTGAGCAATTGAAGAAGCGAGTGAAAGCGTTTGAACGACCCCACAAACTTTTGAAATTTGTGTTCTGTGGTTGTAGGCTAGCTCTGCTCACTGTGGGCGGTCTCAACACACTTCAGGCTTGCCAACACTCGCCGGATGTCGCCCCACCGCATGGAGTTTTTTTTGCGATTTCCGAACACTCGAATTTTCTTCCGCGGACCACCAACTTTCGGTGCATAGGTAAAATATGCTCTTTACTTCTTGTCCCATGCCCTACCCATTCCCTTCTTGACCCGACCTCTCCCATTCCTTCTTCAGGTCAAACCGAATTTCCGGACGGACAAACAAACAAACGAGTGGGTAATGTTTTAAAGTCCACACACACACCACGCTTTTCTGATACGGTCCCTGCCCACGAACTTAGCGATGACACTTCTTCGTTGTTCGATACTCACCGACCATGCTTTTAGGATCCTTCCGCTCACACGGCAAAGTACGGCCCTTGATGGGTTTTGCGCAACTGTGCTGTACCCAAGCACTCCCCTGATAGGTCACAGCAATGCGTACCCTTGTTGGAGACTTGGAAACTTACAAAATTTCTGTTTTTTATGTCCTTTTTGACTGCGTCCTGTTGCTCCTTCGGGAGCTCTCCAAATCTTTCGTCTTGAAAAGCCCTTCACCTTTGCACTCATTCTGATGATGATGATGGCTCAACACAGAAGAGGAGCATTCCAATTAACAGAAGGCTCATCATGTTGAAGTATCTGAAAGCTAAAATACGAACAACAAAGGGATTACAATGAATGAGAACTGACTGACAAAGCTCGCATGTCAGGCCTTTTAAATAGGCTCAGTTGCACAGCCATGTTAATTTGATTTCACTTAGCCAATCAATACCGCATAATGAGGCAGGGATAGCCGAGTGGTTAAGAGTGTAGACTCATAATCTCACTCTGAGCCACGAGTTCGATCCCTGCCGAGGCACAAACCTGCCTTGCAAAAATTGCAAAAATGGGGACGATACCAGCGTCAGGCCCAGGTTGACAGGCCGGCTTGGATGGAGAGGAACCCGTCACAACAACTATGAAAAGTCGCAATAGAATCAGTGTAAAAGCTAGGACGTCACCCGGAAGTGGCGCGCAGAACCCTCGCCCGTTCTCAGTGGGTCAGTATGCGACGGGCTAGCGAGGGTTTCAACGAGTCGCTGAAAGTACCGCACCTTCGGCCAAAGGAAAGGCTTAGTTCGAATTGGGACCCTCTGAACGGGGCGTCGCTTACCGGCGAAAGTACTCGCGAGTGTTGCCGACCTCATGAGACGCAGGAATATCCAAGTCCTATGCCTGCAGGAAACGCGATGGAAGGGTGCGAAGGCCCGCGAGATTGGAGAAGGCGTCAAACTCTTCTACAATGGAGCAGACACCAAACGGAATGGCGTTGCCATAGCGGTGGCAGAATCCCTCAAGGACTGCGTCTCCACTGTGAACAGGATCAGTGACCGGATCATGGGAGTGAGAATGGACACGAAGGAGGGGTACTGGACAGTACTGACCGTGTACGCACCACAATCCGGTTGCTCTGAAACCGAAAAGGATGAGTTCTACCTGACCCTGGACGAGGCCATAAGATCGGTTCCGGAAGAGGACTATCTCACCATAGCTGGAGATCTGAATGGTCATGTTGGAGGAGGGACAGAAGGGCGGTCCTGAAAAGGGTTGCACGTGAGGACGAAGGAATAGGCGACAAAGAGGACGCTGAGGAGGACAATCCTTGATCTAGCAGACAAGCCCACGACTTAGGCACATCATGCCCAGCACCTTCTTCGGCGAAGAGGAGGACCAAAAGTGTAAACCTAACATACAGTGAGGGGACAAAGCGGAGAATCGACCAGTGTCCTTGGTCAGAAGAATATCGTCTCTCAAAACCATCAAGGATATCAAGGTACTGCCTGGGGAAGAGCTGGGCCCTCAGCACAGGCCTCTCCTGGCAGACATCGCCATAGACCTCCCCAAGGAAGGACAAGTGCGTCAGAGGCAGAGCGCCGAATTCCGGCTGGTGGAAAATGGGCAGCGGTAAGAAAAGGATAGCTCGGACCGAGATACTGGAGGCTGGCTCCCACGACCCACCATTGCGGCCAGTTCCAGGACACCTGGACCTACGCAGCAGAGGTCATCCTACAGTGTGCAAGGGAGGTCCTGGGAGAGACGCGAGGTGGTATCAGAGGAGACAAGGCAGCCTGGTTCTGGAACGAGGAAGTCCAGAGGATCGTCAAGCAGAAGAAGGAAGCATACAAACGCTGGCAAAAGACACGGAGCCCAGAAGACTACGCTGCCTACAAGAGCTGCAAGCGACTCGCTAAGGCGGCCGTTGCTAAGGCCAAGAATACGGAAATGGACGCCCTGTACGACAAGCTGGAAGGCAGAGAAGGGGACAAGTTCGTCTTCCGCCTGGCTAAAGCTCGGCATCGCGCAGCTCAGGACATCAGGGTCGTAAAGACTGTGAAGAGCAGCAACGGGGCCATTCTCAGGAAACCAGCCGAAGTCAGGAAGAGGTGGGAAGAATACTTCGAGGGACTTCTGAACGAAGAATTCCCTCGCAAGGATAGCCCACAGGATGGCAGGCGACGCGCACAGGTCCCATCACTCCGACGAAGGATGAAAGTTTCGCCGGGGAGCTTAGGGAGAATGAAAGCTGGGAAAGCAGTGGGTCCAGACGGGGTACCGATAGAGGCATGGAAGGCCCTTGGAGAGCATGGGGTGAGTTGGCTCACGCACTTCCTAAACAACGTAACAGCTGAAGGAAGATGATGCCAAATGGTGGAGGAGCAGCACAATCGTTCCCATCTTCAAACAGAAAGGGGACGCGACGGAGTGCTCCAACTACCGCGGGATCAAGTTGACTCCCCATACCATGAAGCTGTACGAGCGCCTGGTCAACACTAGGCTGAGGGAACTTGTCCCTATCTCGCAGGAACAGTTCGGCTTCATGCCCGAGAGGTCCACCACCGATGCCATCTTCATCGCCAGACAGCTGATGGAGAAGTACCGAGAGAAGCGGCGACCCTGCTACCTAGCCTTCCTGGACCTTGAGAAGGCATTCGACCGCCTGCCAAGGCCTGTACTCTGGAGAGCGCTCAGAGAACGTAACGTTCCGGAACACCTCATCTCCATAGTGAAGGACATGTACGATGGGGCTAGAGCAGCTGTACGCACCCCTCACGGCTTGACAAGAGGAGGTAAACATTACGGTTGGGGTACACCAAGGGTCAGCCCTCAGCCCGTTCCTCTTCCTCCTGACTCTAGATGTCATGGCAAAAGAACTCATGGAGGGACCACTGAAAACCATCCTCTATGCTGACGACATCGCCCTGATAGCGGACAGCAGGGAGGAACTTCAGGACAAGGTGCAGCGGTGGCAGGATGTGCTCGCTGCGAATAGAACAATAACAGAGAACCGCCTGAACGTAAAGAAGACACACAAGTTCCTAAGCTCCGAAGAGTGCGCCGAAGTCATCGTAGATCGCCATGGCGAGAACATCGAAAGGGTCGAGGATTTCCAGTACCTGGGGAGCAACCTAGCAGCTGATGGCAGCGTGGACCAGGCGGTGATGGCCCGAATCAACGCAGCCTGGATGAAATGGAGGGAGTCCACTGGCATCCTGTTGCGGACCGGCGGTGCCACTCGAGAACGCCTCAAGGGCAAGGCTGCTAACCGGGCCATGTGATAAGACCTACAATGCTCTACGGCAGCGAGTGCTGGCCTATCTGCAAGAACCATGAAAGGCAGCTCCACTCAGCTGAAATGAGGATGCTGAGATGGGCCTGCCGGCTCTGGCACCACGACTCGACAGTAGTCAAAAACAGAGACGTGCAGAGCGGTCACACAGACGGCTCCTATCCAGCTGAAGGCACGAGAGCAGCGACTGCGATGGTACGGTCATGTACTGAGGAGGCCCGAAGACCACCCAATAAGGAAGGCATTGGAACTCGAAATAGAGGGCAAGCGACCACGAGGAGCCCCAAAGAAAAGATGGAGGGACGTCATCAAGAAGGACCTCACTGAAGTGAAAGCCACAGCAGAAGATGCAGTGGATCGGAACAAGTGGCGACGTCTAACAAGATCAGCGGACCCTGCGACGGCGCGGGACTAACGCTAGGGAGAAGAAGGAGAATAATACCGCTAATAGCTGCCTATTGTCGGCGGACACTTGTGCGATACATGATTCTTTGATCCGTCCATCTTCCGTTTTTCTCAGTGCTCCTTTATTTGTGTGGCATTCCATGGTCGTTGTGATCTCAGGCAATCCACTCTTCGCTAGTAATGAAGAATCATCCCTCCGGAGTTCCCTTCTTCGGAAAAAGCCCATGTCCTGGAATTTTTTGTGTCATTTCGATTTTTTGGCAACCCTTTATCTGTCTGCGTCTCATAGTTCCGCATCAGGACCATACACAAAAGTAGTGATGTCACGTGAACATGGTGCACCATCCTTGTGTGAAAAACGTAGGGGGTCGCACTTTTTGGCTGAGAGGGGAGAGGGTCGATCGTATGTGTGTTCGAGAGAATTAGTCGCATTGTGAGAAACTTTCTTGTTTGTTGACTTTTCGCGTGATATTTCCTGCTTCATGTGTACTAAATACCGACCTACCGCTCCCCTCTCGTCCGCTCAACATAAAATCTTTGGTCGAAAACACTGGAAAATGCGGGAGTTTGGTAGGAAGGTGCTGGAGGGGGGGGCAGGGAGGATTGTACCGAAGTTCCCTCGAGAGGAGGGGGGAGTCGCACTATCACCACCACCTCACAAATCACGATTCTGTATCCTGCACGTGACCCAGCTGCTATGTCGAAATTGCCATTTGTAATGCCCATCGGTGGTTGCTCGCAGTTTCCCCAAAGAACGACCAAGCTTTCATGCAAAATGGGCTACTGTCGTAGAATACATTACGGTTCAAATGGTTCATGGATTAAAGTTCCGTTTAGTTAATTTCTCCCCTTTAAGGAGGGACGGTTTTTACATTATACGCGCTATCTCTCTCCCCTAATTGGCGGCGCAGTCTTATACAGCTACTTGGCGAACAAAAAAGGCACGAAATAGGGCAAACAGGAAAGTGGGTTCCATGAGTGATGGCATCAGATTAGAGAAGGTTAGACTGGAGGGCAGTTTACAAAAACTTCTCCAGCGACAGAGAGAGCCTTGCTGAGAATGGCTTGAAGCGCTCGAACGCAAGCTCCCTGACCAAACGCCTTTCCCTTGTCGCACCTCCGACGTCGCGTCGTAAACACACCCGGAAAAAAGTTTCGTTTCCGTTTTCGAAAAAAACTCGATGTCTCATCAAGGCGGACGTGGAGCTATCACTCTATTTTTGTGCGCTTTAGACCTTTCAGATCGAAATATTCACTCTTGTACAAACCTTGCCACTTTCCAACATATCTCAGCCCAAGATTTCGAACACGTTCTGGCGGTGGGGGAACTTGGCGAAATACGGACCCCTCTCCCCCTTCCAGAGAACCTCTCGTACGAACTCATTTCCTATCGTGTACAGCATCTTCCTGGAATCCTATATTTTCCCATCTTCCTACTACTTTTCCGCAGGCTTTCCGAAATACACCTATGCCCCCTCACACACAAGAAGATCTGCCGGTACATGATACGAGGAGACCCGAGGAAGGCCAACAACCGAAACCACTTTTCTATTTTAACAAGGGCAGATACGCCTTCCCCCCTCCCTCCCCCCTTCTCGCGGCTAAATACGACTGAGTCGCTGAGCCACTGGAGTCCCCACAGCGGCCGTGAGTGCTACGCTGCAGGCTGTTCCTTTTGTGGCTGCAAGAACTCTCATGACCACTATCTTATTTTCAGACACGACAAAAA